ACGGCGACGACGGCGACGACAGACACAGATGATGGCTATATGTACAGACACATCTGTGTCTGTACATAATAAAGGCATTGATACCACAAATCTGCCACATTTGTCCTCTGGCAGTAACAAAACTTTGACCAACACCAAGGCAGGATTGCCAACTTTAAGGACTATATTGCTGGTGATTTTGCTTTTATCCAGAAAATAAAATAATTCTATTAGATCCGAGAAATTCAGTAACTTCAGTTTTTTCCAAGATCTAGCTTTTTTAGGAAAATAAAGGTATTACTGTAAATATTATTTGATTTATTTTTGCAGTATGTTACCAAGCAAACCAGTCTGGCTGACATCAATATTTACAAACTCACTGCTGTCAAGTGGCAGTGTCTGTTCTAATGCCCTGTTGTCCACATATTATGAAGGATTTAAGTAGCTTTAGTATTATTATATTTTCCTAGGGCCCAGAAGGGCACCTGCTCCTGGGATAATTCAGTAAGTCTATGCATCAGCCATGTATTGGGTAAGCAAGGTGCCTCAGATTTTCAGTTTTATTAGGGCACACTTTTCATATTGTCAAACAAGCAGTTAAGTACTGATTTTATTTTTGCCACTCTCTGTTGAACTACCTGTTGAACATCAAGGTAACCCCATAGAAACTTCTGGTGACCCCAGAATGACCCGTGATGACCTTTCAATGTCATGACCCCTAGGCATCACCCACCTGTCTCCTCAGACCTGGCTATCTTGGTCAGCAGCGTGTTCATACTGGTCACAGGGTTGGCATCCACTGGTTCCTCGTCTAGCGGGACATGCGTGTCCTCCTCCCAGTCACTAAACATCCACTGGTTCTGGAACAAAAAGTGTTCTTCTCTTTAAGAATACAACAACTGTGGCTACACATTTACACTATAATTTACTGTGATCCATTGGTTCTGGAACAGAACAGAGCTCCTTTTGAAGAATACAATAGTTGTGGACAATAGTTGTGGCTACACATCTACAGCACGGCATGAACTCACACACAGCTTTTTTTTTTGCCTTTTTCACACTATGTTGACTCCAAATATCAAAATTATTTAGAACTTCTGCAGTGGCTTCTTGTCAAAATTTTGTTTATCTGCTTACATAGGTAAATAATTCAATCTTGCATCCTTATACTGTACTTACATGTTGTATGATAGTTTCCACAATACGACACTGGTCAGACATATCAGTCACCAGACTGTACATGCTCTCGTCTGTTGTCCTCACTAAAGTTGGACCAAACACTATGGCTAGATTCCTGGCATCCATCTGCAACAGAAAAAAACATATATACCTTGTGTGTCATTTCCATTTCTCTGAATTTTAAATGAATAAATTAATTTTAAAAAAATAAAAAAATAAATCCTGAAAATGCTAGTGACACAGGCACACAGCTCTAAATGAATTGTCATAGGAAACACATTACTTGGCTGTCACATCTAGCACAATGCACAACTGTCAAAACTAACATACTGTCCTGTCACAGCTAACACAATGTGGTGACAGAATGCCCCCTGATTTCATCACCTTATTAACATGTCCATAAGACGCCACTTTCTTCAGGTGCTGAGCCAGGTAGTTGAAGGTCTCAAAGTGGTGTTCTGGGAGATCATGCAGCAGTTTCTTCAAGATCAACATTCTCTTCTCCGGGTTCTCAAGACGGTTGGCATCAATGAAGGCTTGGTACAGCTCTGTCAATAAACAAACAGATGACCTTATTATCACAACTGGTACATTTTGATTATTTACATATTCACAACATATACCTGTACGTAATAACAATGACTGAGAATCAATTTACACGTAAGAAATGTAACAGATAAAGAAAGGTGTTAGCAATTTGTCACACTGTGGACAGTTGAAATTGCCGACTGGCTGTATTGATGCATCACTATGTACTACTGCTGGATGATAAATGATCAGTGCTCTACTCGTAACTGTATGCTCTGTTTGCAGGTATTTTCTGATATTAATGCTGCTTACCATCCGTTACTAAGGATTCTGGAAGTTTTCGGAAGAAGGACTTCAGAAGACTGCCCACTACATTGACATCCAGCCATTTCTCATTATCTGGGTTAGGTGATCCCTGGAATACAAATATCCAACAAACATTATTATCAACACTTAATAAGAGGTAACTGTGGTATTGAGGAATACCAATCATCCTTTACATCCTAATTAATAATCCAAAAAACCTCACAGGTAATATTATTCAGGTATTATTAATCAAATCATTAAAAATTACCTCAAATACAGAGAATAAAAAAGATTTGGGAACTATAGACATTCTTAACTTCTGTTAGTTCATTGACATCACAATGACATTATAACCTTCAACTAGTGTGTATAAAAACAAAACTACCAAAGTGGTGAAACTCTATAACAAATTCTTCTGTACCTTGTTGAGCTCCTCTTGTAGTGTTGCCACGGCAGCAGTGTTGCCAGGCACCCTGTAAATGCCTACAAACTCCAGTCCCCTGGCCTCTACTATACTGGTACAGATCTCTATCACCATGGGCAGGTACTGGAATACAACATGTCATAGAATGTGTGTGTGTGTGTGTGTGTGTGTGTGTGTGAGAGAGAGAGAGAGAGAGAGAGAGAGAGAGAGAGAGAGAGAGAGAGAGAGAGAGAGAGAGAGAGTAAAACAATTTCTCAGCTTTATGGGGGCTTTATTTTTGTCANAGAGAGAGAGAGAGAGAGAGAGAGAGAGAGAGAGAGAGTACTTAGCAATAAATTCTTAGCAATTAAGTGATACCAAGCAATGAACATGTCTACCTTCTACTATCCTAAATTAGATTTTTTTTTCTTTACAAACTGAGATGACAAAACTTTAGTACACATTCACAATTTCAATTTCACAATTTCCAAATTAAAGCTGCCTCTTTGAGCATTCTGTGCCCACTAACCTCATTATTAGAAGATGCAGGACACAGCTCCAGCGGGACTCCAAACGTTCCCACCGCCTCCTCCGCCTCTGCCTCTACATTGGTGGAGGTGCCAGAGCCAAACCTCTTCAGTCCCTTGGCCATCCTGCCGCGCCAGCTCTTGTTCTCCTTGTTCTTTGGGGAGTCCTCTGTAAACAAGAACACAGGGGTGGTGTTTAACAACTTGACATGTTAATATAACTCCCCTCCTTTTATTACAACATCCAACTTCACTATTTATAAAAAAGATAAATACTTAAAAATTCCAAACAATTCCAAATACTCATTTCAATCTGACATTTTTCTTTTCAATTGAGAAATTTAAGTCATTCAAGAGATGCTCCTACCAACAGCGACAAAGTTCACAGGTAATGTTAACAGGTTCCAACAAAACAATTATTATACATTCAACCATAATTTCATCTGTAATATCATCGAGTTCCAACATATAAATTCAGTTATAATTTCAGCTCTGATGTCATTGAGATCCCCACCTGCTCGCCTGTGTTTCATACTGGGGGAGTGTGGAGCCTTCGACGTCTTCACCGTTAACTTCTTCCCGGCCGATTTGGGCGCCACCTGTGGTGAGCTCTTGACGGTGGCAGCCTGCTGTTCAATCTGTGAAGATTTCCGCAGTATTAGATCAGTATTGCCAGCACCCTGGTCCTGTGGGAAACGCAAAGCAAACATGGCGGTGGGTTAAACTGCGGAAAACTTCATCACGGTCTGGTTAGGTGAGTGCAAAGAGTAGAGCTGCCAACTTGATGCATTTTGTCTTTTCTATGCTATTTTTATCATGAAATTTCTCTTTTATTTCCAAATATTACTCTACTTAATGACATAGTAGGAAATGGGGCTACAGGTTTTGAGTAGCTTTATGTTGGCGACCCTAAATAATGAGTACGGATACTTCTTCTGATAAAGATCAAATTCATGCATTAAGAATGTGGACTCTTTATCATATGAAGATCAAATTATCATGGCAAAAAGTGAAAATTTCACATCAAGCTGGGGTGTAGTTAGTGAGATTAAAATTTCTGCAATCATATCAAACTGAGAGGGTTACTGCAAGACATTTGATGTTTTCCTCCATGCAGAATAAATTAGTTTTTTTTTTTATCAATATCTCACAAAAGAACTGCTCATAAGTTAATTTAGGTTGTGTGTTTTTGGTTAAGAGAGTGAAACCAATAAGAAAGCTACAGAGACTATATTCTAGTGCATGACTTTAACTGTATTCAAAACCAATCAGCAATGCCCCAGCTGTGTGGGTTTAATTATTTTTTTTTCTTTTGGGGGGCGGGGGGAGGAGGAGAGGGGGTGGGTGGGTTAAAGTGTCAACTTTCTGAATGAAGTGTTGTTCTTAGAAGGTCTCATATAAATTTACAAAAGATATGCATAAAACTTGTTAGTATTAAAGATTTCTTGGTGAATGCTTCAAGCAGCAAAGCAAACATAACATGTGGTAAATATCAACATGCAATGACCATATTATCATTATCAGAATGACTTGTTTTCAAACTACATAAGTATTACGTTACTGTATATTACTGTATTTACCATAGTCAGTGCCCGTTTGTAAGTAACAGGTACAAATCATGTGGTTTTTTTTAGCATGTGCTTGCCGGCAGGATGGCAATACTGTTTATGGTGTATGTGTATGTGTGTGTGTGTGCGTGCACATGCATACATGCACCTGTGTATGCGTGTGTGTGCATGCTGAGTTTGTCATACATTCCCTGGATCTTTGTGTTGCTGATTTCCAGTCCATATTGGTGTTGTGTGTGCATACTGAGATTGTCTTACATTATCAGGGTCGTTATGTTCCTGTATTTTCTGTATCCAGTCCATCATAGTATCGTGGTCTTCCACCTGAAACAGGTACTCTGAACCATTGTATGTAGTCAGCCGGAACACGTGCTTCTTCTTGGTGTAGTCGTAGGCTATGTCCACCAGGCTGGACTTAATGGAGATAGGCTGCTCCTCAAGACCCAGGGGACTCTAGAAAAGATATGGCAGAGTTATGATAAATAGTGGATTGACTCTTCTAAATGAAATATTCCTATGGTAAGGTGCATTGCTAGGCTAGCTAGCAACAGAACATATCATATCCTTCAACATAAAGAATATGGAAAATAATTTTCCAAGACTTTGCTAATTCATGAACAGATATGAAATTTGCACAGGCTTGATATTGCAGCTACATAAATTGGAAACTAAGCTACATTCTGCCCCCTAAGATATGCTCACAGCATTCTCCTTCCTGTCCTTCTGCAGATAGAGGGCGTGTCCTCGGAGCTGAGCCCACATTGGCTTCCAGGAACGATCACTGGACTTCTGCAACAACAAATACAACATATAGTAAATAACCTAGCTTTCAAGTTTACAATTTTCAGTGCAGTTAGACAAGTCTTCAGTTATATCAATTTCACTCTGTTCACAAGAATTTATCAAACTGGATCAATGCTTTCAGGAGGGTGCTTGAACTGAAATATTAACAATCTGAAAATGATGTATAGCTGAATTGTAATCCAAACCAGAAACAATTATTTTTTGGGCCCACCACCCCAGCCCCTGTCCACACTGACCTTGCCATCAGTGACAGCCGTCTTGACCTGTAGTATACCCTCTCTGACCACCTCATGGAGCGGGCTAGGCAGGTCCCCCTTCTTCTCTGTGGCCTCCATGATCTTAGGGGTGCGCTCTCCAAAGAATGCCTTCAGCTTCTTGATGTGGGTTTTCTGGGGTGGAGTCTGAGAGCTGTGGAGGATATTGGGAATACCAACTGATTGTGACAGAAATATTGGAGGAAAATATCACTGTTATACCAACTGATTGTGACAGAAATATTGGAGGAAAATATCACTGTTATAGCAACTGATTGTGACAGAAATATTGGGAGGAAAATATCACTGTTATATCAACTGATTGTGACAGAAATATTGGAGGAAAATATCACTGTTATACCAACTGATTGTGACAGAAATATTGGAGGAAAATATCACTGTTATATCAACTGATTGTGACAGAAATATTGGAGGAAAATANGTCAGCTGATGTAGTCATCTATCTTGTCTACATAGATATTTGTAGTCTAATGAAATCAAACCTGTCAGCTGATGTAGTCATCTATCTTGTCTACATAGATATTTGTAGTCTAATGAAATCAAACCTGTCAGCTGATGTAGTCATCTATCTTGTCTACATAGATATTTGTAGTCTAATGAAATCAAACCTGTCAGCTGATGTAGTCATCTATCTTGTCTACATAGATATTTGTAGTCTAATGAAATCAAACCTGTCAGCTGATGTAGTCATCTATCTTGTCTACATAGATATTTGTAGTCTAATGAAATCAAACCTGTCAGCTGATGTAGTCATCTATCTTGTCTACATAGATATTTGTAGTCTAATGAAATCAAACCTGTCAGCTGATGTAGTCATCTATCTTGTCTACATAGATATTTGTAGTCTAATGAAATCAAACCTGTCAGCTGATGTAGTCATCTATCTTGTCTACATAGATATTTGTAGTCTAATGAAATCAAACCTGTCAGCTGATGTAGTCATCTATCTTGTCTACATAGATATTTGTAGTCTAATGAAATCAAACCTGTCAGCTGATGTAGTCATCTATCTTGTCTACATAGATATTTGTAGTCTAATGAAATCAAACCTGTCAGCTGATGTAGTCATCTATCTTGTCTACATAGATATTTGTAGTCTAATGAAATCAAACCTGTCAGCTGATGTAGTCATCTATCTTGTCTACATAGATATTTGTAGTCTAATGAAATCAAACCTGTCAGCTGATGTAGTCATCTATCTTGTCTACATAGATATTTGTAGTCTAATGAAATCAAACCTGTCAGCTGATGTAGTCATCTATCTTGTCTACATAGATATTTGTAGTCTAATGAAATCAAACTCATCTCATCTCTCACATATTGTCGTCTTTACCTCACATCTTGTCAGTAGTCTACACAGGAATCCAGACGGTGTTCTACTCTCATACTGAGATATATATTAAATGATATTACTGTCTCCTGATAATATTTCTGTGATAGTTATTCATGGGTTGTAGCCACTATATAAAATCAATACCACATTCTAGTTTTATAACACCTGGGCACCTGCTGATAATCACGTTGGTCATTCCAACAGAAAAAACTGGGCACTTACAGAACACAAAGAGACAATCATATTGGTCATTCCAATAAACAAAACTGGACAATAAGTGAGCTGACCATACGGATATTATAGAGGTCTTAACAATAATCAAGGAAACTGACAAGATCAATATTTGTTGACCGCGACAATATCCACTGACAACTGCAATATTTACTGGCTTTTGTAAGGTATAACTGAGCTATAATAAGATATTACCAGTAAGGATTACCAGTGATAGAAACACTATATATCTGGACCATCTGTAGGTATAAGTCAGCTATAATAACAGTGAGGATTACCAGACGAGTGATAGAAACACTATATATCTGGACTATCTGAACCGATGACTATGAGCACTTTGATGGTCCTAATGCTAAATTAACACTGACAAATGTCCACTATCAAATGACCACAAACTTATGTGAAATGATCACCACCAACTGACCTGCTAACAACATCATAACCAATTCAAGTCCAACCCTGCTACTTTTTTGAAATCTCAGTACTTAACAAAAATATGATGTTTTCCTTAACAGAAGCATACCCAAACACCCTTCCCATCAGCCAAAGAACAGGCAGAATATAAGACAGAAAATACATTCTGAAGGTAAATTCAAAAATCAAAATACTTTGGACAGCAGTATATGTACACTTTACTAAGATTATAACATTTTAAAAACTGAAATAAACTTACTGAAAATTAGTTGAAATCCGTCTTCTATTTCTTTTGACTATGAAGGCAGACTGTCATTACAAGGGTTACCACTAACTATGTAACTTGAATACGACAATACCTCTGTACATCCTGGCTGAAATCACCTAGAGTATCCCTCTGTTAAAACACCTCACAAACTTCTCATTAATCTACCTCACAGCCTGGTGGTGCTGACGTCTCTTGCCTGTTTGAGTTCTATGTTTAATTAACTCTGCTAATCCTTGCAGCTAGTTATAGCCAGATTACTGTACATATTGACTTAAAATAGGTGACCAGGGATAAAAAGATTAGGATATTTCATACATAAGGCACATGATATAACAGAAAGAATATGTAACAGAAATATTCTCACCATTCGTTGTGTAAGCAGCTGATCTGGTCAGTGAGTAGAACGGCATTGTAACTGCTCCTAACAGTATATAGCTGATTTCACTCTCTGTAATTCTTTAATATCAACCCTCTGCCTCTTGAGCTTTACATGTTGATACATAGAACTCTTTATGAAAGCACTCCAATATGTGATATCCTACCTGGACATGTTCAAATCCAATATCTCCCCAGTCCCTGTTAATATGTCACACTTCCCTGTAGTAATCTATGTCTCCTCTCACTTACGGTTTGTGAATATCATACCTGAGATTTCACACCTGTCAGGTGAGAGGACAGAGCAGGGAGAGCACTGGCTTTGTGATGGTGATATCTGGACATAGAGATAGCTCTTCACTCAAGTGGTGGACACACAACTACACTCAGATCTCTAAGAATTTGTTATCACAACTACACTTATTATACCCGCGGCACATTAGAGAGGCGACTAGGGTGTACAGGCTGGGGGTTATACGTGTGGTATTTAGTTCACATCCTTAAGATGTGTGTGTGCGTGTGTGTATGTGTTTGTGTGTATGTGTGTGGATGTGTGTTTGTGTGTGTGTATTTGTTTACGTGTGTGTGTGTGTGTATGTGCGTTACATAGAACAACATGAAAAAGTAACGTTTACTTGATAAGAAGGATATATCTGGTTGTATTTCTGCATGAATGCTTGTTTGTGTACGTGCGTACAAGAATGCATGCGTGTGTGTGTGTGTGTGTGTGTGTGTGTGTGTGTGAGAGAGAGAGAGAAAGAGAGACAGAAAAGGTGAATAACTCACTTTCACCACTTGATATATCATCTCATATCAACACAATATGGTGCTGTGATCCACCATCTATAGACTGATCATGTTCATCTTATTTATATTTAACCTGTTGTGAACAGGCTTTAGACTACATGATGCACATTCCATCAGTGTGTTTTAAAGTTAAACTAGCTGTGAACAGACCTAAGAGAAGTCTTCATGCCTACATCTTATACATTCCATCAGTATATTTTGTCTGCTGTCCTGACACAATAAATACAACACAGTATTGATTCAACAAGCTGTCTCTTCCTCTCCATGTTTCCTCTCTACATGCTAACACAGATTATATTTACGTGCATTATAACTGTTGTTTTCATTCCAGAAGATGTGATTTACATATGGAGAAGTCTTGTGTGTGTCTACTAATATGCACGATGGACTAACATGACCAGTAATACACAGATATCAACCTATAAACACACAACACTCAGTATTCTGTGCCGCATTAACAGTGACCAGTTCACATCAGATTATGTCCAGTTCAGCTAAAGTTAAACCTGATGTGAATACAGCCAGTGACCTGTTACCATGGTGATTCACAGAAAGGTGCATTCACAGAGATATTTTAAAGGATGGTGGAGAGAAAGAGGGGATAACAAAGTTGTCACATGTTCCTGACCTCAGAGGCCAGCATCTGGCACCTCAGTACAACATGGTGTACTACAATATGGCACATACTGACGGGTTCACACATGTCATAGGACGGACATTTCCTGACCTGTTATATTTCAATGTACTACAATATGGCACACATTGACGTGTTCACACTTGTCATAGGACGGACATTTCCTGACCTGTTATATTTCAATGTACTTCAATATGGCACACA